GGTTGGGGGCTGTGTCCGTGCCGGGTGATGCCACTGGGGGCATCTGGGCACCCCCTCGCAACCCTGGGGGGCTGCAGGAACCCACATCTGGGTGTGGGAGGGGAGGGTCCTCCCACGGGGTAAGGGGTTCTTGAGGGGGGGATGACTGAGGGGGAAATGGTCACTGCAGGGGGGTGGTCGTTGTGGGGGAGGTGGCTTTTGGGGGAGATGGACATTATGGGGAGATGGTCTTTGAGGGGGAGATAATTGAGGGGGAGATGATCATTGAGGGGAAAATGGTTGCAGGGGAGACGGTTTTGTGTTGGGGAGATGATTCTTGCAGGGAAGATGGCCCTTGAAGGGGAGGTGGATCTTGCAGGGGAGATGATCCTTGCAGGAAGAATGGCTCTTGCGGGGGTTGGGAGGTGGTTTCTTGTGAGGGAGATGGTTCTTGCAGGGTAGGTGGCTTTTGCAGGGCAGATGGCTTCTTATGGTCATTGCAAGGGAGATGGTTGTGGCAGGGGAGATGGTCAGTGGTCCTTGCAGGTGGGGTGGCTCTTCATAGGAGACGGTTTCTTGCAGGGAAGCTGGGAAGGTGGTCATTTCAGGACAGCTGGTTTCTCCTGGGGTAGATGGTCCTTGAGGGGGAGATGGTCCTTGCAGGGGAGGTGGTTTCTTGCAGCAGCAGGAATAGGGACCTGACCAGGCATCCCTATCCCTGCCCACCTCGAGGGCACTGTGCCACGTTCTCGTGCTGAGGGCTGAACCCACCAAGGGTCCCACCAGCCTTGGGACCAGCAGGCCTGGAGGATGCAGGAGACCCCGGTGGCAGCAGCACACCTGGGACCAGGCCCAGGAGAAGGGCTGTGTCCCCAGCTCAGCGTTGTCCCAGCAGTGTGGGGGTGTCCATGGGGTCCCTGCTGCCCCGGACCAGTGGGATTGCAGGGCAATGAGCTCCCCACCCACCTTCCTGCAGTGCCGGGTGATGGGGGGATGCCGAGACCTTTGGACAGCCCCTGCTTATAGCCCAGCAGTCCAGGACCCCCATTCCCAGTGCCAGGGCAGGTGCCTGAGCCTGCCCTGGGGATGTGACACCCTGAGGTGACGTGAGAGGGCGGATCCCAGGTGTGTTTGCCCCGTGTGCCAGCCAAGCCCTTCCCGGCACCGCCGTCTCCTCCCACGGCGGCACCACATCCCCACACCACCTTGGAGGGTCGTGTTCCCCCACCAGCTCCCTGCTTGGCGGGGGGAGCACCCCAAAAATCCTCTGATGGCTCCTCAAAGGGAACTGGCGGCCAAGCAGCTCGTCTGGACCCGTTACCTAAGATGAAACCCAGGCGCCATCTGCTCTGTCTCCTAATTATGAGCATGGCAGAGGAGTCAGGGCGGCGGGGGGACGTGGTGACAGCGGGGTTCCAGCCACGGGGTGACAGCTAGAGGAGGGGTCAGGGCTGGCTGCAGGCACCCTGTGCCTCAGCACCCATCTGTGCCCACCCTTCTGGACCCCTGACTCCTGTCCTGCTCCCAGTCTCAGGCTGGTGGGCCCCCAGGGTGGGTGGGTGCCCTGGGAGCTGCCAGTGGTACCCAAGGGGGACTCGAAATCTCCTGTGGTGCTGCTGGGGTGGCCCTACTGCACAGGAGGGCAGGGTGCTGGCAGGGGATGAGGTGTGGGGAGGAAGGGGAGGGAACAGGACCCACGTGCTTTGGGGTCTGTGATGCTGAATTGGGGGTGACATGGAGGTTGGGGTGGAGGGGGAGGAGGCACAGGGACCCCCCGCGTGGCTCCAGGAGGAGGTGGCCGGGGCGGGGGGGCTGGCAGGGGAACACGGAAACCCTCGGCAAGCGCCTGCCAGGAAGCTGTCACTGGAGGGGATTTTCCATTGGTGTCAGCAGGAGCAGGACGGGCTGGTGGGGGACTCGTGGGGAGGAGGGGGCCGAGGCCCTGGGAGGGGAGCAGGGGGGTGTGGGGGTGTGCAAGGGGTGGGGCACAGAGGGGACAACCTCCCCGATGCCCCATGAGGGAGGGGTGTAAGGCAGCTGCACCCCTTTGGTGCCCCCAGATGTGTGGAAGCAGGGGAGGAAAACCTCCACAGTGCTCTGTGTGTGTGTGTGTGAGTGAGTGTGCAAGGGAGAGGCACCACCAGAGCATCCCCAGGCTTGGGGGACATGAGTGGGGCACCCCCCGATGCCACTCGTGTGTGTGTTTGTGTGCAAGGGAGGGGGGCACCTCTGCAGTGCCCCAGATGTGTCAGGGCACACACAAGCCAGGACACGGGTGACGGGGGGGTCTGGAGACACTCCCCCCACCCATATGGGGGTACTTAGGGCCACCCCAACCCCTCTCAGCGCCCCGTGGTGCCCAGGGACCCCCGAGGACCCCCCGTCCCCGCTGCTGTGGCCGCGGGCGGCTGGGCACGGCGCCCCGGCGGGGTGGGAGGCGTCGGGCCAGCGTGTCCCCATCTGTGTGGCGGCTGTGTCCCTGCCGCCTGCCTGTCTCCTGGTGGCATCTCCGGCCCCACCCTGACGTCTGGGTGGCCTCGGAGCCGGGCACCAAACCATGTCCGTGCCCTGCGGGGCCATCCCTCCATCCCCCGGCTGCCACGCCGGTGCCAAACCAGCCCCTCCGTGCCCCCCATTTCCAGCGCTGGGGGTCAGGGCCGGGTGCCAGCGGGCTCTGGGGGCTTGGGGGTGGGTCTGCAACCCCCTGCGTCCTCATGGTGCCACCATACAGCACCCCTGGCACCCAAGGGGGGCCCTGACTCGGTGGAGGGGGTGAGGTGGGGGGATGTTTTGCCCCCTGTGAGGTTGGACGGGGCTTGGAGCAACCTGGTCCAGTGGAAGGTGTCCCTGCCCGTGGCAGGGGGGTGGAATGAGATGAGCTTTAAGGTCCCTTCCAACCCAAACCATTCCATGATTCTGATTCCTCTCGCCGCCAACCTCCGTCAAGCCTGAAACCGTTAAACTAATTAAAGCTTTGCAGCAGCAGGATTAAGCCCGGGCAGGGGAGGTGGGAGCCCAGGTAGTCGATTAGTTCACCAGGCGAGGATATTGGATTTCTGCGAGGCGAGTCAGCAGTCTTCAGGGGCTGTTATCTTTGCAGGGCTGCGGGGTCAGGAGGTGGGAAGCGGAGGTGACTGCAATCTCGCCCGCTTCATCCCCCCCTCCTCCTCATCCTCACCCCTCCAGCCCCCCCACCCCACCCCCCAGCACCCGGCCTCGCTGCCTCTCCCCTGCCCGAGGCGCCCATCTCTATCTTTCCTTCTCCCTCTGTCCCTCCTCGCTTGTGTGGTCTCGGCTGGTGTTTTGTAACTAGCGCGGAGAGAAAAAAAAAAAATTTAAAAAAAAAAGGGAAAAAAAGGGAGGAAAAAAAAAAAAAAAAAAGAAGGAAAAAGGCCCTACCCCTGGCGAGGAAGCCAGGAATGGTGAGGTCCGGAGAGCCTAATGGGAAACATGTGGCGGCTGCCTGGGGCTGAGCGGGGAGGTGAAAGTGAGCGCGGCAGCACCGTGAACGTCCCGGTGCGCCCCGCTGCCCCCCCGGGCACCCCACTGCCCCTCCACAACCCCCTCCCCACCACAGCCCCCTCCCCACCAGTGCTGCCGGGCTCCCACCTGCGCCCTGTGCCATGGTGGGCAGTGGGGTGGGCTGGTGGGCGCTGCCCGGCCCTGAGGTGGGTGGGGGGTGCAGGTGGTCCCTGCTGTGTGTGTGGGGGGGGTGGTTTGGCTGGGGTGAGGGAGGAGTCTTGGCACAGGGAGGGTCCCCCTGTGTCACCGGACATGTGGCCCCGGTGGGGCCGAGAGCAGGAGCCAGACACCGGTGGTGTGGGTCAGAGCCGGGGATGTGCCCAGGGGCGCGCCTGGGGGGTGAACGTGGGCGGTGGGGAACACAGAGAACATGGGTGATGGGGTGTCCAGAGACCCCACACACCCCGGTGGGGACCCCAGGGGCATCCCAAAAGCAAGCCAAAGCATCCACAGCTCCGTGTGCCATGGATACATGGCGGCACTGTGGCGCAGAGCTGGGGGGCTGCACCCCACCACCCCCTGGCACCTCTCGACCCCCCGCTCCTCCCCATCCAGCCGCGCGCAGCGTGTGCGGCGGGGACCAGCTCCCGGCGGCTGTTCTGGAAAACCTCCCGTTTGCTTCCTTCCTGCCTGCCTGCCTCCCCTCCGACAGCTCCCTGGGCACACCAGCAGCCTCAGCAGAGACAGAGACCGGTCTTTCTAGCACATATTTTCCTGCTGCACATCGCCCTCGGTGTAACTTTACACCGAGGTGCCCGCATCTCCGCGGTGCCAGCGCTGCGCCCAGAGCCTGGCGGGGAGACAGGGGGAAGGGGGGGATGCGGATGGACTGACAGGTTTGAATTCTCTTTCCCTGCCTTGTTGATAAGTTGTCACGCTAATCCAGACACCGGGAAGAGCCTGGATCACGCCGAGCGGCTGCGTGTGAGTGTGTGTGTGTGAGTGTGTGTGTGTCTGCGGGTGTGTGCTGGGGGAGGGAGCCAACCCGGCAGGGATTCACAGGTGGAGCTGGGGAGGGAAAATAGGCGGACATGCTGGCACAGGGGGACTGGGAGGGGTTGAGGGGCTCCACCGTGCCCCCCTGTGCCACACGGGCAGCAGCTGTAGGTGCCCTGAGCTCACGCAAGGGAGTGGGGGGGCTGGATCTGTGTGAACACGCGTGTGCAACATCCGTGTGGAGATGCACACGCGTAGCCACGCACACGTGTGCCCACAGCCTGGCGGGGAGATGCCCCTCACCTCATACGGGCAGCCCCCGGCTCAAGGCACGGCCAGGGTGAGGAGGAAAGGTGTGTCCTGCCCCGGAACACCACCCTGGGCGTCCCGTGGCGGGGTGGAGGACACAGGGTGGGTGTCCCCTGGGATGTGGCTTCAAGGGGGAGGGCGTCTGCGGTGTCCCCATGCTCAGGGGGTGCTCCCTGGGGAGGGGGCCGCCGGGCTGACGCGTGGGGGTCTCTCTCGAGCAGATGGGAGCTCGGTCGCCTGCCAGCCCCTCGCACTGGAGAACGGTGCCAGCCCGCCAGCCGAGTGGTTCCCGCGTGCCCAGGGCTCCGGCCCCCGCCAGCCCGGCAGCGACGGCGACGGCAGGAGCTTCCGAGTGAACCTGCACTGCAAACACCCCCGGAACAGGTACCGGGGGGGGGCTCACCCCAAAAATGAGAAGCAGGGGGTGCACCGAGGAGGGGTTTGGGAGCACATCTTGCTGCCAGTGCTCTGCCCGTCCCTGTCTGGGCATCCCTGGAGATGGAGAGGGGATGCCCCATGGCTTTGCAAAACCTCTTGGCTTGGGGTTTTGGGGCTGCAGCCCCCCATGGGGCGCAGGGTGGGCTGTGCAGTGGGCACACGATGCCCAGCACCCACCCGTGGGTGTCTGCGCCACACACCCCGCCCAGCCCTCGCTGTATCCCATTGCCAGCGAGGGGAAACTGAGGCAGGCACCACACAGGGAGGGTCCTGTCAAGGGGGAACGGGGTCTGCTGGCACCGGGCAGTGTCACCGGGGGGGGGGGAGGGTTGGAGCTGTGCGTGGGGTGTCCATGAGCGGGTGGGAGCCGGGGTGGGATGTGGGGGGGTGGGATTTGCTGAGCCACTTCCTCGGGCGAAGACCCCCCCCCGCGTGTCCGGAGCGCGGCTCGCCGGGGACACCTAGTGGCAGAGCCACCAAAGGACCCCCGCCGCCCCCCGAGCCCCCCCAGCCCCACGGAGGGGTTGGTGGTGGTGGTGGGGATGGGAGGGGGGTGTAAACCTGTCCCCTCTGTCCCCCAGATCAGAGGCAGCCTCCCCCCTCTTTCCCCACCCCCCGCAGCCCCGACGCCACAGTGATGGGCGGCCGTGGGAGCTCGGGAGGATCAGCCCCTGGTATGGCCCGTGGAGGGACTGGCATGGGGGTGGTGGGCACCCAAGTGTCCCCTCCCCACGTGGGGTTAACCCTGCACACCCCTTCCTTTGCAGAGAGCTCAAGTGCAATAGCAGGAGCAGCAGCAAAGCCGAAGGTGAGTCCCAGCCCTGGCACCTCGACCTCCTCCAGCACCCCAAAATCTGCCCTATGGCAGAATGGGGCAGCCCAGACCTTGGAGGGGGCTCTGTGCCAGGGGTTGGCACAGGTGGTCCTGGTGTGGGGAGGGTATCCAGCCCCCCTGAGCTGGAAAAGGCATTCAGCCCCTTTTGAACTGGAGAGAGGGCCAGACTCCCTGAGTTGGGGAGGTCATCCAACCCCCCCTGAGCTGTGGGAAGGTGGGCAGACCCCTGAGTTGAGGAAGTCATCCAGCTCCCCTTGAGCTGGGAAGGATTTTCAGATCCCTGTGAGTTGTGGTGGGCAGACCCCTGAGCTGGGGAGGGGGGAAGCCCCCATTTTCCCATCTGGAGACAGTGGGGACATATTCCCACAGTGCCAGTCAGGTCCTCGCTGGTGACAGGGCAGGGATGAGCTGGGGGATGGATGTGGGGCCCCATCCCTGAGAACAGCGGGGATGGAGCGAGGCTGCTTTCAGCCGGCAGTGCCCACAGAGCCTCACTGTCCCCTTCTCTGCCGCCCACAGGTCCCGGTGTCACCTTCCCTGACCCCCATGTCAGCAACTGCCTGGCCAAGCGGCACGCGGGGGAGGAGGAGGTCAGGATGCGCGTGAAGCCCCCGGGCCCAGTGGTAACGACCAGCGTTGTGCGTGGCTCGCCCGACTACGTCCGAGAGCCCAAATTCTACCCACCGGGACACCCGGCGCAGCAGCCCGCAGCCTGCCCGGCCGAGAAGGCGTTGTCCTGCAGCGTGCTCAGCTTCCCTGAGGGGTCGTGCCCCGCGCTCGGCCGGGAGCACCAGGCGGGCTCGCTGCTGCACGGCGACCCGGCCGACCGCTGCCAGAGCGTCCACGGCGGCACCAAGGCGGCGGAGGACCTGCTGGGCTGTGCCGGGGAGCCCCGGATCCTGGGGGGCAGCGCGGAGGAGGCACCCGCCCGCGACCGGGCGCCCAAAACCTTCCCCAACGCGACGCTGGCCTCGGGCCGCTGCAACGTCGACAGCATCCTCGCCTTGCTCCGGAGCAAGTGCGGCAACGGGCACATCAACCTCCACCCCGTGGTGCAGCTCATCGACATCATGAAGGACCTCAACCGCCTCTCGGAGGACCTCAAGAACAGTGGGGTGCACCTGGACTGCGGCAGCCTCCGCGGTGGCGGCGGGGGCCACGAGGACAGCCGCCTCCTGCCCGCCGACCGCGACCTCCAGTACAGCTTCTTCTCCTCGCCCTCCCTGGCCAACAGCATCCGCAGCCCCGAGGAGCGGGGGGTGCTCCTCAAGTCCGACCCGCCGCGGCACCCCCGGCCCCCGGCGCGCGATGGAGAAGCTGATGGAGGCGGGGGGAGCGCCCCACAGCCCCCCGGACACAGTGGGGGCGTGGGGGGTGTCTCCAAAGCGCCGGCGGAGGAAGCCGGTTGCTCCCAGCCTGATGCCGGCGATTACTCGGAGCTGGCTGAGGCGGACATCCTGAACGAGCTGGCCTCCCTGGCGTGCCCAGGGACGCAGCTGCTGGAGTCGCAGGCGATGGAGCCGCAGCCCCAGTTGCTGCCAGCACAAGAGCTGGACTCCCAATCCCGGCTGTTGGATTCCCAGTCCCTAGAGTCGCAGCCCCAGCTGCTCGATTCGCAGAGCCTGGAGCCTCTGCCAGAGTCGCTGGAGCTGCAAAACCTGGAGCCGTTGGGGCTGCAGTCGCTGGAGCCGCTCTCCGAGTCGCTGGAGCTGCAGTCGCTGGAGCCCCTGTCCGAGTCGCTGGAGCTGCAGTCGCTGGAGCCGCTGGCGGAGCCGCTGGGGCTGCAGACCCTGGAGCCGCTGCCTGGAGCACTGGAGCCCCCACTGCTGCCCACCGAGCCCTCGCTGCTGGAGCCGCAGCCGCTGGGAACCGTCTCGGAGCTGCTGGAGGCACAGCCGGGCACCGGGGATCCCCTGCGGCCCCACGGGCTGCAGCCCAGGCTCGGGGGGTGCCCCCTGAGCACGATGGTGAAACGGGGTCCCTGCGGGGGCCGGGGGGCCGGGCGGTGCGGCGAGGACCACCGCAAGTACGCCCTGCGCCGGACAGACAAGCCAAAGATGCTGTGCCGCCGGAGGAGGGCGGGGCGAGGGCGCCGGGTGGACGTCACCCCTGAAACCCGCGTCCTGTCCCCCCTCGCCCTGCCTGCCGAGGTGCCCCCCGGGCCCGAGGAGCCCGACACCCCACTGCTGAGCCCCCCGCCGCCGCCGCCGCCCCCCGCCACGCTGGACCCTGACGAGATGCCCAAGGCCCCCGTGGCAGGGAAGAAGAGCAAGTGCCGGGGGGTGAGGAAGATGGTGGTGAAGATGGCCAAGATCCCCGTGTCCCTGGGGAGGAGGAACAAGACCACCTACAAGGTGTCATCGCTCAGCAGCAACTTGAACCTGGAGGGGAAGGAGCTGGCGGCCAGCACCTCCATGGAGCCCACGCCGCTGCTCAAGATGAAGAACAACGGGCGCAATGTGGTGGTGGTCTTCCCCCCCGGAGAGATGCCCATCATCCTGAAGCGCAAACGGGGCCGGCCTCCCAAAAACCTGCTGCTGGGCCAGGCCAAGCCCAAAGAGCCCACTCCTGAGGTGAAGAAGAGGAGGAGGAGGAAGCAGAAGCTGGCGTCACCCCAGCCCTCCTACATTGCTGACACCAACGACAGCAAAGCCGACTACTCAGACGTGTTGGCCAAGCTGGCCTTCCTCAACCGGCAGAGCCAGTGCTCGGGGCGCTGCTCGCCACCCCGCTGCTGGACCCCCAGCGAGCCCGAGTCCATCCACCAAGCCCCCGACACCCAGAGCATCTCCCATTTCCTGCACCGCGTCCAGGGCTTCCGCCGGCGCGGCGGCAAGGCGGGGGGCTTCGGCGGGCGCGGCGGGGGCCACGCCGCCCGTGCCGCGCGCTGCTCCTTCAGCGACTTCTTCGAGGGCATCGGGAAGAAGAAGAAAGCCCCCACCGCCCTCCACGCCGACCCCGTGCACCCACGCAAGCGCGGCAGGCCGGAGCCCGATCCCGTGGGAAAACCCAAGAGGAAGCGGCGGGCGCGCAAGAACGGGGCACTCTTCCCCGAACCCAGCTCTGGGCAGAACTTCGGTGACGGCCCCGCCGGAGAGTGGGGAGGTGGGGAGAAGGGCAGCCCCTGGGCCCCCCACCACGGCCACCCTGGCGGCCAGGCTGGACGCAACGGTGGCTACCAAGGGGCCGAGGCGAGACCCTTCCACGCCGCGGGGCTGGAGTCGGGCTCCTCCGGCCGCGCCGGCTTCTACGCTGGGAGCGCGCCATCCTCGCAGACGGAGGCCGGTCCTGAGCGGCACAGCCTCTTCACCGGATACTTCCGCTCCTTGCTGGACTCGGACGACTCCTCTGACCTGCTGGATTTCGCCCTCTCCGCATCCCGCTCCGAGTCCCGTAAATCAGCGGCCGCCTACACGGCCCCCCCGACCGCACTGCCCGGCCAGCGGGGCATGGCCGCCTACACGGCCAGGGGTGGCAAGGTGGCAACGGCCACCCCTGGAGCTGAAGCCGCCTTCCATGCAGCCATGCAGGGCCGGCCGGCATTCCCACCCGGCCGCGCCGCCGGCGGCTATGGGGTGACCCAAGGGTCGTCAGAGTGCCGGGGCGCCGAGTCCTTCCCCAAACTGGCACCGCCATCAGCCGTGTCCCGGTCTCCCACAGCTCACCCGGCAGCCAGCGGCACCCCAGGCTACTCCCCTTATGGCAGCTATGGCAGCGCCGGGCAGAGCGTGGCACCCACCAGCGTGTTCCCACCGGGAAAGCAGTACCCACCGGCACAGGACTGCCCCAACAGCAAGGACTGCAGCTTCGCCTACGGCAGCGGCAGCAGCCTCCCGTCCTCGCCCAGCAGCGCCCACAGCGCCGGGTACGCGCCGCCGACAGCCGGGCCCAGTTTGCCGCTGGGAAAAGCCGCCTTCTTCAACAGCGCCGAGCAGGGGGGGCAGTTCTCCAGCGCCGCACACACCCCCCTGCGCTGCGACAGCCGCGCCAGCACCGTCTCGCCCGGCGGCTACATGGTGCCCAAGGGGTCGGCGTCCTTCCAGCCCTCACCTGAAAACTGCCGGCAGTTCCCCAGCGCTGCGCCGTGGGCTTTCCGGCAGGGCTATGGCGGGTTGGATTGGAGCTCGGAAGCCTTCAGCCAGCTCTACAACCCGGGCTTCGAGTGCCACCTCAACGAGCCCAATGTCATCCTGGACATCTCCAACTACACCCCGCAGAAAGCCAAGCAGCAGACAGTCTCCGAGACCTTCTCCGAGTCCTCCTCCGACAGCACCCAGTTCAACCAGCCGGCCGGTTACCGGCGCGCCAACAGCGAGGCATCTTCCAGCGAGGGCCAGTCCAGCCTCTCCAGCCTGGAGAAGCTGATGATGGACTGGAACGAGGCATCCTCCGCCCCCGGCTACAACTGGAACCAGAGCGTCCTCTTCCAGAGCAACTCCAAGCCCGGTCGAGGCCGACGGAAGAAGGTGGATATGTTCGACACCTCCCACCTGAGCTTCTCCTCCTCTTCCTCCTCCTCCTCCGTGTACCCCGCCAAGAGGAACACGGGACCCCGGCAGCCCCGGGGTTCCCGGGGGGCTTGTGCCTCCAAGAAGGAGAGGGGGACGGGCAAGGCCAAGTTCCCCACTAAGTCGCAGGCAGTGAACCCCCTCTTCCAGGAGAGCACGGACCTGGGCTTGGACTACTACAGCGGGGACAGCAGCATGTCCCCCCTGCCCTCCCAGTCCCGGGGCTTCGGGGTGGGCGAGCGGGAGCCCTGCGACTACGCCGGCCCCTACTCCATGAACCCCTCCACCCCCTCGGACGGGACCTTCGTCCAGGGGTTCCAGAGCGACTCCCCTGGCTTGGGGCAGCCAGATTTGGAGAGCAAGCACTTCCCTGCCCTCCCGCACCAGCTGGCGGCCCCCGGCCAGCAGACTGTCTTCGAGGCCGGCTTGCAGAAAGCCTTCTCGCCCAACTGCTCCCCGACCTTGGCCTTCAAGGAGGACCTCCGGGCGGGCAGCATCCGGAAGCTGCCGGCCTGCGACTCGCTCAAACACAGCATGCAGGGGGGGGCCCTGCCGCACGCCCCCCACCTGGCCTGCCGCGACCTCCCCATGCCTCAACCGCACTACGACTCCCCCAGCTGCAAAAACCCCCCGTACTGGTATTCCCCCAACGCCAGCACCCGGAGCCCTTCGTACGACGGCAAAGCGGGGGCCGGGATGCTGGTGGACTTCATGGGCAGGACGGACCCCCCGTGTCTGAACCCCCACTTGAGCAGCCCGAGCGGCACCCACCCCTCCAAGGGCGAGAAGGAGCCCTTGGAGATGTCCCGGGCTCACCACCGAGGACCCTACGCTTGTCCCCTGATCAATGACTTGAACATCTCCCCCGTACCGAGAGACTCAATGCTGCAGCTGCAGGACAACTACAGGTACCCCAGTTTTGCACCCCAAGGGCACCCCGTCATGGCCCCCACCCAGAAGAGCGGGTTTTTGGGACCCATGGTAGAGCAACAACACCCTGAGGACACTTTTACGGTCACCTCATTGTAGTGTCTGCTGACGTGCCAACCGGACAACGAGGTTTTGTTACAGGGTAGGTGGGGGAGAACCTGGGG